AACCAATCACATCACCGGAAATCCCTTAAATTTCAAAATAAGAATTTATATATAAATACGTTATTTCACTAACCTAAACTGAGAAGCAAACGCAACGTTGCCAACCGAACTTGTTTGTTCTTTAAACCAGAATATGACCAATGTCAAGGTAGATGCTTGTATAGTCAAAAGACTTGTAATTAAAACTGAATTAACAATATCGTTACAAGTCATACCTTGAATTTGAACAAACATGAAGGTATTGTGTCTACGGTTTGGAGGAAGAGGTCACAAACATGAAGGTATTGTGTCTACAGTTTGGAGGAAGAGGTTACAAACATGAAAGTATTGTGTCTACGGTTTGGAGGAAGAGGTCACAAACATGAAGGTATTGTGTCTACGGTTTGGAGGAAGAGGTCACAAACATGAAGGTATTGTGTCTACAGTTTGGAGGAAGAGGTCACACACATGAAGGGATTGTGTCAACAGTTTGGAGGAAGAGGTCACACACATGAAGGGATTGTGTCTACAGTTTGGAGGAAGAGGTCACAAACATGAAGGTATTGTGTCTACAGTTTGGAGGAAGAGGTCACAAACATGAAAGTATTGTGTCTACAGTTTGGAGGAAGAGGTCACAAACATGACGGTATTGTGTCTACTGTTTGGAGGAAGAGGTCACAAACATGAAGGTATTGTGTCTACAGTTTGGAGGAAGAGGTCACAAACATGAAGGTATTGTGTCTACAGTTTGGAGGAAGAGGTCACAAACATGAAGGTATTGTGTCTACAGTTTGGAGGAAGAGGTCACAAACATGAAGGTATTGTGTCTACAGTTTGGAGGAAGAGGTCACAAACATGAAGGTATTGTGTCTACAGAATGGAGGAAGAGGTCACAAACATGAAGGTATTGTGTCTACAGTTTGGAGGAAGAGGTCACAAACATGTAGGGATTGTGTCTACAGTTTGGAGGAAGAGGTCACAAACATGAAGGTATTGTGTCTACAGTTTGGAGGAAGAGATCAGTTGTTCAGTAATCGATCAACCATCAAGACAGAAATTAGCACATGTAAGTCACATGTAAGTCACACTTGTCAGTCTATATCGCGTATGCCTACCACCCCAACTCGACAACGGGCCGAATATGTGATTTGTTTGTTTGGGGTTTGTTTTTGTTTTTTTTGTTTAACGCCGCACTCAGCAATATTCCAGTAATCGAGTCTGGACCAGACAATCCAGTGATTGACATCATGAGCATCGATCCACGCAATTGGGATCGATGACATGCATCAACCAAGTCAGGGAGCCTGACCACCCGATCCCGTTAGTCGCCTCTTACGACAAGCATAGTCGCCTTAAAATCTAACTGAAATCAGATCTTAGTTCTCGTTATCGCCAAACAAAGATCTGAGGACAATTTTAATCGAGAACTGTGTCAACATATTTTTCAAGCGTGGACTGAAATGGAAGTCACCAGGTTGAAACGAGTGCCGTAAATCTCGAGAAAGCTGCTTTCTAATTGGGTGATGTCGACTTCTTGTTATAGTTATTTCAGTGGTCGGTCAAAGTTCGCGAAAGGTCGTTCTGACGTGACCCGTAATGGGATGTCCTCTGATCTTTGTTGAGCGGCAGCGAGAACATAGATCTGATTTTAATGAGATTGTATTCCAGCTATATGACGGCGGTCTGTAAATAATCGAGTCTGGTCCAGACAATCCTGTGATTGACATCATGAGCATCGATCCACGCAATTGGGATACGATGACATGCATCAACCAAGTCAGGGAGCCTGACCACCCGATCCTGTTAGTCGCCTCTTACGACAAGCATAGACGCCTTTTACAGCAAGCATGAATGGTGATTTTAATAAGGAAATTAAAGGAGGTAATGTGTTCATAGACTGGTTGGAACAGCAGCTATTGCCCATTTTAAACAGCCTCAGTGTCATTATCATGGATAAGGCCAGTTAATATAACGTCTGGGAATCAGATACTGTCGCCCAAACCATGAGTAGCCTGAAGGCGACCATACAGCAATATATGACATTGTCGACTTCAGACCATATGAAACGAAAGTTCAACTTCTGGAGAAAATTCAGCTGAATAAGAAACCAGTAAAGTACAAGACATATGTGCTGGTGGCACAACATTGCCACGTTGTCTTACGTACGCCAGTCAGACATTTTGAGCTCAACCCTATTGAGCTTACCTTGGCTAACTGTAAAGGGTTCGTGGAAAGACACAGCACAACATTCAAACTCACACATGTCAAAGGGAGGATCAACGCAGTCTTTGATAGATATCAGCCTTGTTGAACCAGTTATCACACCTTTGGGTGATAGTACAGATTCATATACGTCATCAGCGGAAGCCGGATCTTGTCTCTCATACTGTCCAAGATACAAAACTGACCGAAAACTGCCAAGCTTATCTACACAACACGCCGACATGGAGCTCAAATATTGCTGAGAGCGGCGTTAAACAACAAACAAAATGTATGTACTCGAACATACCCAATATCTGTGATATCTGCCAATATTTGTACAAGTATCACTTGTTATCAGCGTTATCACTATCCCCCTCCATGGGCCACATTAGAATGTTTTTTGTTCATATAGTAGTGAATATAAATTATTAAAAAAAAGAGTCCTACCTTCTAAATCTATGTGTTCTAATATTGAATACTGGACGCGTCCACACGTTCTGCCACAGAATACGAATGTTCTATTTCGGACAGTACGTGTTCTATTGCTGAACGCCTATGATCTGTTGTAGAACGCGCGTTTTCTTCTGGAAGAGCTCCATGCACATTAGCAGAAATAATGTGCTGAATATCGTCAGATAAATTAAAATTCGACCATATATTTGTGTTTTCGGAATATCTATTTTTGAGAAGAAGAGAGGCTGCTAAATTGTAAGTCAAACAGATATTGTGTATAGCAAGGGTGATATTTTAGGTTTGATGAATAATAAATAGTTTATACACAAGGCATACTTTGTGTTAATAATAACTCAAATGTAATCTGACTAAATACAAGAACATTATTGAAATACAGCTCAGTAGTAATCCATGGAAATACCTTGCCAGCATTGCGGGACATTTACATGTATCAGAACACTGTCATTCTGTTGGCTAATTTTACCTCGAGCATTATTGTGTGCTATGGAACGTATTCGGTCTGTTTGCTGAACACACGCCTTCTCACCTAGCAGCACACTAATGTTATACGCGAGAACACGTGTTTCATTAACAGAACGTCAGTGTTCTGTTTTTCTAACTAGCATTCAAAGCTGCCCATGCCCCGTGAACCACATCCGTTACGTGAGAAAACTGACGTGACGTCGCATTTATTTGACGCTACAATTTCCTATCATCTGTGGGGTATCTGTGGTAAGTATCCTTCCAGGAATACTTTTGTTTCATATTTGATCCTTACCCGAAATTGTGTATTATTTCGGCTTTAAAATCATATGACATCACATACGAAGTAAAACATGCATAGCAGACGACATATTCCCCACCATTTTAACCGTAATTTCTGTCTTCGTTCCACGTGCATTATTCGCAAATTGTGAGATGAAATCCCAATCCAATTTGCACTTGTGACTATTTGAAAGTTTCCGAAATGATGTTCAAGTAAAACGAATATATATTTCAGGTTCTATAAGAACCCAGACTGATGTTCGTCTTTGAACATGCAAATGCATCGACATCGACGGAGAGTTGTGTGAGTATGTAATGAACAAAAAGAACTAAACATGCACAGGACATGGTTTTTTTGTTATGATGTGAAATATGTCAGAGAAACAGACTCACGTTGTTTTGTTGTTTCTATTACAGAGTGCATTGCAGAAAATCTGTACCATGGACATTACTGAACATAGCACACGTCTACGCAAAGGAGGAAAAGAGTGAGTGAGTATGCTTTTACGCCGCTTTTAGCATTATTCCAGCAATATCACGGCGGAGGACACCAGAAATGGGCTTCACACATTGTACCCATGTCGGGAATCGAACCTGGGTCTTCGGCGTGACGAGCCAACGCTTAACCACTAGGCTACCCGACCGCCCCAGGAGGAAAAGAAACAAGGAGTCAGTTTTGTAAATCAATTAAGGTACTTGTGTATAATTTGCTCTAGTCTATATCCCAGTAAGTGATAACTTTGTTAGTCAAATGTTGGCAAAACATTTGGCAACTTGTAAATAATGAAACAAATGTGATTGTCACGGTAATCTTGCGTTTACTACCGAACATTCATTAGAATAATGTCTTATGTTTGTTTGTTTTGTTTGATAAATAGATGACTGTGACAAAATAAATGTTTGGTGTTGTAGTAGAATGTTGCGGATTCATATTTGACATGAAATTTTCCCAAGCATGCTATGGTCATGTCGCTGTTACGAACATCCTTTTTGGGGAGATGTATCTGCGAAGTGCATGCGCTTCGTGAAAGACTTGAAAGTATGGAAGTATGTTTCAATTTTCTTCACGACAGTTTGTTTCATGAAAAGCTCTGACTTACATATTTATGGGACTTGAATATCCACATGATCATGACAAATATAGATAATAATGAATTCGTGGTTACAGTTCAGAATTTCGTCCGTGTGATTTTATGCCACAGAATATGAATGGATGTGAGGCTATGGTTTGAATTCTTACGCCTTGAAAAACCCTTATATTCGACACGCACGATCATTTGTCATTTCACTATTGTGGAAGCACGTGTCTGAGAACGTGCAGTGTTCTGCATCTCGGTCTAGAACGCATTACAGGCGTTCTAAAAGTGTTACACCGGCACAACACGTTGAAACGTTCTAATGTTCTATGTTTGTAGAACACTCCTATTCTGGGTCGAGAACATGCCGTGATGGCCGTTCAGAATATTTTCACATGAACGCGTTCTAAAAGTGTTAATCCATGTGTTCTGTCTTGTGTTCTGAAGTAGAACACCTTGGTTTAGAGTGTATATAAAGCAGAAGAAGAAAAATGATTAACTGTGAAATTGTTACACAAAAAAACCTTCTCTTGAAAAAATAATTTATGGTACCAATTCTCGATCTCTCGTATCTCTGAGATAAGCTTGCAAAGTTTCATTCATGTAATGTCAGTAGATTCTGAGAATACGTGTCCCCCATTGCAGACACTATGCACTAAGTTGAAAACATGTAGCAAGAGAAGTACCTCTGGAATAAAATAATTTACGGGACCAATTTTCGAATACAGTCTAGGATAGGATACAGAGGAGGATAAACTCAAATCTGAGGTATGAAGGGACACGGTTATCGGTTATCCTTCTGGTAGAAGACCTGGGTGCCATTACAAAAAACAACCTTAGCGCTACGACTGTCGTAAGTCTATGTTAAGATATGGGAGTTACGATCACCTCAGCGATAGGATCGCTTTGTAGTGTGTACAACGACACCCTTGGTTGCACACAGCTGCTTTGTCCTTGTGTTATTTAATGCATCCTTTGTGATTGAAACAAGGGGGGATAACTCTAAAAAGCGTATATCGGATCCCCGACCCGGACCACGCCTGGCGTGATGAACGTGGCGTTTACACCAAAGGCAGGCTTCACTCCATATGGCTCCTTCCTCCGGAATCTGAAACAGAAACAGACTGGACCTCAAACTTCTGAGCCAAAAAATATTACATCTCTTCGCTTTCAAGGCACTGATAGCAACGGTCGGCCACCTGTGAAGATCCGGATTAGAATAGGTCTTCAGCAACCCTTTCTTGTCGTAGGAGGCGACAAACTGGACCGGGTGGCCAGGCCCGCTGACTTGGTTCATGGATATAATCGTATCCCAACTGGATTGATCTATGTCCATGATATCACTTACTGGATTGTCAGTTCCAGACTCGACTTTTTACAGACCGCCGTCTTATAGCTGGACTATTGCTGAGTGCGGCGTTAAACAAAATGTACAGCCAAAACCAAACTTTCAGGTTTCCTAAAAAGGTAATATTAATACAAATTGAAAATATCGTTATGTTTCTCTATTTAACTGATGTTAATCAAAACTCGCAAGGTTATTTTTAAACATTATGTGTGCGATCACATGACTCACGTTCTGAGCGTTTTAAGAGGTTCCTCGTCTTTGTCCTTGACCCCTTTTATCTGGTCCACCGTGGTCAGGATACAGCGCGTGCAGGCGTCCAGCGTCCGCAGTCTGGCTTGACCAATATGTATCTCCTTCCAGTCATCCTGTTACAGATATGTCATTATCACACGTTGCCACAATGGCATCAGGAGGATGAGTGAAGAGGACTTGAGTCGTCAGAATACCATCCTCGATTAGCCAGTGCATTAAAGTGAGTGAGTGACTGAGTTTAACGCCGCCTTGAACAGTATTCAAGTTATATCACGGCTAGTGAGCTTAATGTGGGAGGAAAGCCCGGAGTGATGCAGGTCTCAGACGTTTACCACTTCGGTGAAACCAACGAGCACGGGTATGGTGCGGACAAACCTAGAAACATAATCAGGGCGAACCGGATTCGTACATACCACCATAGGTGTCTGGAGCCCCAGGGGAGGCAACTCTGCATTGCGAATTGCGGTGCCTTAGATATCTGGGCCACCCCATATCCTTATAATGTGTGACCTGTATGATGGTGAGTGCCCTGACTTTGCGATTGCTCTCAACCACTGGTTTAGACTGGATAATTTACAAAGCACCATGGTGTATCTGGATCAATGCTATCCCTAATGTTAAACAACAGTAACCGGCAACTGGTTCTACTGGAAATATATGAATTTGGACATACAGTTTCACATTTGGAAGTTTTGACTTCAAGTTTTAGGAGTTTCCACAAGGATGGGGATGTCACATTGCAACTTGTACATTCAGTCGGGGATCACTATTGTATACTATTCAAAAAGCTAAAGGCCACCAGGTTCTTTCATACTGCTATAGTTAATCTATCATCGCATGACTGATTAACTTTAGTGGTATAAAAGAATCGGGTGGTACTATTTAGTAGTATACATGAGTATTTCAATGAAACGAAAGAATCATTCAGGTTGAAGTTTTCTGTCATTGGGGTTTCCAATCCGACATGAGTGAGTGAGTGAGTATGGTGTTAACCTGCTTTAACCTGCAATATCAGAGCGGGGGACACCAGAAATGGGATTCACTCATTGTACCCATGTGGGGAGTGACGAGCGAACGCTTTTACCACTAGGCTACCCCACCGCCCCTCCCACCCGACGAACCCCACCTGGATCCCCCGGTGAAACCGGTACAGGTACACATGGAAACTTGGGAAACACATAGGCACTGTTGCATCTTATTCAATCTCACGATGTGAAGTGCGTTGAGTATCTGTCTCAAGTATCTGCCTCAAGTACCTCTGCAAACGGACCACAGTCGTCCACGATGATGTTGGCTCTGAAGTTGAGGATGGGCACGGGGCTTGCTAGTCTGTCGTTGAGAGCTCGCAAGGAGGCGTTGGAGAGGACCATGTAGGAACAGTAGTCCGAGAAGGCTGTCTGGAATACATTGAGAAAGACGGTTGTTAACCTCGCAAGTCGCATCGAAAACGAAATAAGTGAAATAATGGAATTCCTGAAAAAAGAAGTGTTTTCCACTATAAATCAATTATTATTGAGCTCCGATACAGAAGAATTCTCTTGATATATATCAATGAGTCATGCAGAAATCCGCAATAATTGAGTTGAGATCTGGAGAGCATAGTTCTCTTCGATACCCCAGTCACCATATTTCCACACCGACCCCCTCTAACCCGATCTTTAACAAGCCCAACCTCACCATATCTCCACACTGACCCCCTCTAACCCGATCTTTAACAAGCCCAACCTCACCATATTTCCACACCGACCCCCTCTAACCCGATTTTTAACAAGCCCAACCTCACCATATTTCCACACCGACCCCCTCTAACCCGATCTTTAACAAGCCCAACCTCACCATATCTCCACACTGACCCCCTCTAACCAGATCTTTAACAAGCCCAACCTCACCATATCTCCACACTGACCCCCTCTAACCAGATCTTTAACAAGCCCAACCTCACCATATCTCCACACCGACCCCCTCTAACCAGATCTTTAACAAGCCCAACCTCACCATATCTCCACACCGACCCCTTTTAACCAGATCTTTAACAAGCCTGACCTCACCATATCTCCACACCGACCCCTTTTAACCAGATCTTTAACAAGCCCAACCTCACAAAATCTCCACACCGACCCCCTCTAACCAGATCTTTAACAAGCCTGACCTCACCATATCTCCACACCGACCCCTTTTAACCAGATCTTTAACAAGCCCAACCTCACCATATCTCCACACTGACCCCTATAACCAGATCTTTAACAAGCCCAACCTCACCATATCTCCACACCGACCCCCTCTAACCAGATCTTTAACAAGCCCAACCTCACCATATCTCCACACCGACCCCTTTTAACCAGATCTTTAACAAGCCTGACCTCACCATATCTCCACACCGACCCCTTTTAACCAGATCTTTAACAAGCCCAACCTCACAAAATCTCCACACCGACCCCCTCTAACCAGATCTTTAACAAGCCCAATCTCACATATCTCCACACCGACCCCCTCTAACCAGATCTTTAACAAGCCCAACCTCACCATATCTCCACACCAACCTCCTCTAACCAGATCTTTAACAAGCCCAACCTCACCATATCTCCACACCGACCCCCTCCAACCAGATTTTTAACAAGCCCAACATCACCATATCTCCACACTGACCCCTCTAAACAGATCTTTAACAAGCCCGACCTCACCATATCTCCACACTAACCTCCTCTAACCAGATCTTTAACAAGCCCAACCTCACCATATCTCAACACCGACCACCTCTTACCAGATCTTTAACAAGCCCGACCTCACCATATCTCCACACTGACCCCTCTAACCAGATCTTTAACAAGCCCGACCTCACCATATCTCCACACCGACCCCTCTAACCAGATCTTTAACAAGCCCGACCTCACCATATCTCCACACCGACCCCCTCCAACCAGATCTTTAACAAGCCCAATCTCACCATATCTCCACACTGACCCCTCTAACCAGATCTTTAACAAGCCCAACCTCACCATATCTCCACACTGACCCCTTTTAACCAGATCTTTAACAAGCCCAATCTCACCATATCTCCACACCGACCCCCTCTAACTCGATCTTTAACAAGCCCAATCTCACCATATCTCCACACCGACCCTCTCTAACCAGATCTTTAACAAGCCCAACCTCACCATATCTCCACACCGACCCCCTCTAACCAGATCTTTAACAAGTCCAACCTCACCATATCTCTGTGGCAGTGTTGTATATGTGCATATTTTCTGTATTTTATATATTTGTATACATGGTATACATATAATGTTTTGTAATGAAATGGTGTTTTAACCTTTAATTATGTTGAATTAAATAAACCTGTATGGCTGCTGTATTCTACAGCTCTGTATAACGACTTGTTCTCTGCGTGGAGTTTTATTTTATTTTAACTTCTACTGGTTGTGGGGTAGAGTAGGTAGCTTGGGTCGGTCCTTTGTTTAGTATAGCTTGCGCCTGATTGGCCTTGTTTCAAATACTAACACCCAGCATTTAACCAGCACACCAGCCGCTACACCTTGCCATGCGGACAACAAATTTCTGCTCTGTGTAGTATTTTCATCTGAGACCGTCCAAATAGATGCAGGCACCATAAGTCCTGTCACATTGCGTTGGTGAACACAGTTCCCGCCCCAGTTTCACCTACAGGGGCGATTGTGTGTTCTGATAATAAATCCTCACGACAATTAACGACCTGTGTTATTCATAAACACCCCCGGTTACATCTCCACACCGACCCCCTCTAACCAGATCTTTAACAAGCCTGACCTCACCATATCTCCACACCGACCTCCTCTAACCAGATCTTTAACAAGCCCAACCTCACCATATCTCAACACTGACCCCTCTAACCAGATCTTTAACAAGCCCAACCTCACCATATCTCCACACAGACCCCCTCCAACCAGATCTTTAACAAGCCCAACCTCACCATATCTCCACACCGACCCCTTTTAACCAGATCTTTAACAAGCCCAACCTCACCATGTCTCCACACCGACCCCTTTTAACCAGATCTTTAACAAGCCCAATCTCACCATATCTCCACACTGACCCCCTCTAACCCGATCTTTAACAAGCCAAACCTCACCATATATCTCCACACCGACCCCTTTTAACCAGATCTTTAACAAGCCCAACCTCACCATATCTCCACACTGACCCCTATAACCAGATCTTTAACAAGCCCGACCTCACCATATCTCCACACCGACCCCTTTTAACCAGATCTTTAACAAGCCAAACCTCGCCATATCTCTGAATGACCCCAACTCGTCAGATTTTTAACTGACCTAAAACCAGGCCTCTAACTGACCCAAACCCCTACTCGCCAAATTTCCAACCATTCACGACTCACCAAATATCCAAGTGACCCCCTTTTTACCAGATCTCCAACTGACCCCCCTTACCAAATATCCAACTAAGCACAATTCGACAGACTTCCAACTGATCAAAACTTATCAGATCTCAAACAAAGCCCAATAGGCCAGGGACCCGTTCCTCAAAGCGATCTTAGCACGAAGGCGATCGTAAGGCCCATACTTTAACATGATGGTCGTGCTACGATCGCTTTGAGGAACGGGGCTCAGGTCTTAAACTGACCCCAGCTTATCCGATTTCAAAATAAAATCAACTCACCAGATCTCCAGGTAATGCCGGATGCTCCCACAACTTTTTGCCATAGTAGGAGTCTCTCTTCTCCAGTGAGGGCGCAGAGAAGTGGAGCCTGAGACCGGCCCTGTTGAAGTACTTGCACAGCCATTGGGCGGCCTCCGCCCCACAATCTAGGGAGTCAACGGTGTCCGTCTTTACACTGAACATATCAAACGAATCGGCCTTAAGTTCATGCAAAGGTGTAACTTTTTATCTTGACCCTTACGTTTGATGATGGATATCACATTTGAAATGATAAAGACATATCTTTTTCTAAACCACGCCCCTAAATAGGGTTCGTTTTGGAAGCCGATTTCCGAGCTTGTGATTTCAGCCCTTTCACTTGGGCAACTGAATACTTTCTATCAATGTTATGAATTATTTCCTCTGAAATGATCTTATGTATCCAGGAAAATTGTTATACCAATCAGTGGATTTTCTGTTTCAAACCTAGTCCTTGTTGTTTATAACGATGTCGTGTTATGTTTTGTGAGAGTGTTCTTTAAGGCCGCGCTCAGCCATATTAAAGGTAGATGACGTCGGCCTGTGGAGCCTCGAGAATGAGGTGAGGTGAGGTGAAATGGGGTTTAACGTCGCGTCCAAGATTAGAGCACTTATATAGCGACGTGCATGCACGTGTGTGTGTGGCTGCTTGTACTAGTACGGACTGATGCCGATTTATAGTGCTAGCACACTGAGACACATGCCGCAGTTTAATATGAATACCCCACTCAGACACAGTATACTGACTCCGAGCCGACCAGTCCTTGTTTTAGCCCTTTAATGCCGAGCGCCAGACAGGGTAACAACAAGTACCATCTTTTAACGTATTTTGGTATGACGCGGCCGGGGATCGAACCCCGATCGAACCTTCCGCTCTCCGGGCGGACGCTCTACCACTAGACCACGCCTCGAGAATGATATGAGCAACGTCCCACGCTGTCGATGTCTGATGACAGGCGATGTGTGACGTCCCCGAGCAGCATGTCCGTCAGATCCAATTAGTCGCCTATGACGATCCAGGTTTCTGGGGGCCCATTCTAATACCGATTCCCAAACAGGATGTTTTCATGTTAAGTTATAAAGGAACTTTAAAATGGATGTTTTGAATGGTGGCACAGGTCTGATTCCTCACTAATAATGCACCGCCACCCACCCTCATAGCCACCTCCCCAACTACCAGAACAAACAAACACCACCTTCATCAGGTTACTCACGTGACTTTCTTGACCATAGTTGGTGTGACCTCGGGATTCATGGGTACTTTAAGAGTGGACATCCCCGGTGCGTTCAGGTGCATTATGTCGCCATGAATACTCGGCTCAATGAGCGCCATGGAGGGCACTTGCCGCTGTGTGAGGTACATGCCTGCCTCATCGGCCACAGTCCAGTGTCTAGAATAACAATCAAACTGACCAGTCCACGGACGACTGCGAGAAGAGTTGAGGACATTGGGCGAAGTCATCAATACGACGTTTAATTCCTGACCCCTACCCCATTTGTGTTCTTATGCATAGTATGACATAAAATAGGAATTAACTTCCAGTATCCTAACCTCTATTAACCAGTTTATTATATCTGCATTTATCATAGTGAGTTGGTGAGTTGGGTTTAACGCCGCTTTTAACAGTATTCCAGTTATATCACGGCGTGTCAGCTTAATGTGGGAGGAAAGCCCGAAGTGATGCTGGTCTCAGACGTTTACCACTTTGGTGAAACCCACGAGCACGGGTATGGTGCTGTGAAACCTAGAAACATAATCGGGGCGAACCGGGATTCGAACCCACAATCATAGGTTTCTGGCGTGCCCAAGGGACGCAACTCTGCACAGCGAATCGCGGCGCCTCAGACGACTGAGGCCACCCGTGCCCCCTGCATTTATCATAATAATAAGACGTTATACATTGGATGGATTATTATCGACGGATGTGCCTATGACTCCCATCAGCTTAGAGTGCTTTTAACATATATATATTCTGAAAAAAAGGGAATTTTCATTTAACAAAACATAAATACTGCAGAACTTGCATGTGCATAATTCGGATAGATTTTGAAGCATGTACTCATCACGTATGTACAATGTGGTATAATATATTATATCATATTAATGCTAAAGGGGTTGTTGTCGGCACAGGTAGTACAGATATGTACCCTTCTTTATTCTGATTTTGGTTAGGGTACATTTCTGTATACAGAAACGTACCTGGGGTACATATCTGCAGTACCTTGTGCTGACAACGACACCTTCAGGCATATTACCGTTTCGTTTCATAGTCATGGGCCTTTGTGACTTGGTCCCCATGACAACCACTCAACGTAAGCACAACGAGATCGTGGCTTATCTTGAAATGTCAAACAATAAACACCAGGGCCCTTCGCGTGACAGTGAATAAATAACAGCACCCTCCTGGGCATGACCCACTTTCCCAAGCGCCCCGGTTATATTAAATAATTTGCGATTAAATATTTACAGAACGTAAAGAGTATCAGTTACATGAAAGTCTGCATTGGTGTAGAAGTATATACCTGTCGGTGAGGCCCTTGTACTTGAGCCCAAGACGGGTGCACTCAGCCTCCATAACATTCAGCCCCCGGAAGGATTTCACTGGGTAGACATATAGAGCGGACACCGTTCCGACTCGTCGAAGTTGATGGCGACGGTTGTATTGAACCCAGTAACCGATGGCGTATTTTAAAGCCGCCCCAGCTGCTAGAGTTAGGAATATTCCTGATGAGGAGTCTGATGATATGCTGTCCAGGAACGTCATTGTCCAGCTGCTGCAGGGAAACAAAACAAACGGCCAAACAGCCAGGTGCGCAAGCAGCGTGCGTTGTTTGTTCAGTCCCCGGTGAATAAGTAAATAATTCCTGCGTTCTTATGCAGTGTCAGCGAGCAGATCGGTCACGGATGATGAAGCGTGACTCATCACGTGACATTGAGGTTTACACGATCTGCTCTGAGTGAATGGCCATGTGTCAGATGTTTCGCAAATAAACTATCCAAGTTGGTTATTCCATATACTGTAGTGTGGGCCTTAGGAAGGGATTTCATTGTGCGTGTGTTGGGGGTGGAGGGGTGGGGGCTTTTCCTGACCCCATATTCAATCGTGTGGGACGTGTGGTGTCTGTGTGCACGTGTGTGTGAAGCCAAATCTGATGCCAGATCAGTTCAACTGAGTTATCATTGAGAATAGATCTCATTCGCTCTTTGGTCTCGTTTGTTGGTTAACGCCGCACTCAGCAGCGCGCTTTAGCTTTATAAGTGTCTCTGTAAAGAGTGAGTGAGTATTGTTTTACGACGCTTTTGGCAATATTCCAGCAAGATCACGGCGGGGACACGAATAATGAGCTTCACACATTGTAGACAAGTGGGGAATCGAACCAGTGTCTTCGGTGTTACGTGCAAACGCTTTAACCATTAGGCTACCCTCATCGCCCCTCTCTTTAAAGAAACGGTGTCTAAAATGCTCGGCGACTTCGTTGACGACGTCTTGTCATTGTAGCTCATTAAGTCAATCGCTGGTTTGTCTGTCCCATACTCTTTTATTTACAGACAGCTACCACATTTAGTCTACTGTCCTTGGCGGCGTCGAAATAACATGCACAGACCAAATAACCCAGTGAGGATTACCGGTTAGAATTGGTTGCCAGCAACCTATATGGTTGTTGTACGTTGCGATTTATAGAATTTGGAGGTCAGATCGGTGACTAACTTGATAACAGCATACTTGACCCCGAAGAAGAAGCTCATTGCTACAAAACAGTCGCTGGCTTATCTGGCATAGACACGATTATTTGTGAGTCTCGGTTATAACGCCGCACTCTGCAATATTCCACCCACGTGACGGCGACCTCTACCGGGGCTTCTAACAACTGCTGTATTTCAGTAAAGCTAAGGTGTTATTTTTTTAAACAATTGTTTAATGTTACATTTACACGGTAAACGGATTTTCCATTGGACGAGAAGGCGGTCACGTGACCGTTAACTGACAATTTGATGTTCATACGTTTTCCTTTTTCACGAGACTTCTTAAAATGACAAACACTGATCGACTGGGCCTACTTTCACATTCGTGGGGAAAACCCAGGGAATTCCCTAGCATGAATACATACAGAAGCGTTGTTACTGAATCGTCTTGAATTCAGCGTTTTAGAATACATTGGTCAGTCTATCGGAGAGTTTGACAGCATGCCTGTGCACGAATATCCTCGCTGCGACCGATCCTAGTGAACAACACGAAGAAACGCACACCCAAACTATCAACTTGATCCCTGCCTTGACCGACAGCCTACAACAACCTCTGAATTTACCTCAGAATCTAACACAATTTTAAAATCACCTTTCAATGATCGGCCAACTGATCCATGACGACTATTTATAAATACCTAAATACAGGTTCATTACAATTGAGAAGTCCCGCGAAGATCCGAGTTAGAATAGGTATTCAGCAATCCATGTTTGTCGTTAGAGGAGACTAACTGGATCGGGTGATCAGGCCCGCCGACTTGGTTGATGCATGTGATGTATCCCAATTGCATGGATCGATGCTCGTGACGTCAATCACTGGGTTGTCTGGTCCAGATTCGATTATTTACAGAACGCCGTCATATAGCTGGAATATTTCTGAGTGCGTGGTTAAACAAAACAAAAAACAAAAACAAAAAACAATCGAGAACATTGCCCGTCACTTTGATCTTGTCGGCCATCTTGACGTCCTGTACCAGCATGACCTCATGTTGAAGAAGGGCGGCGGAGGGAAGGGCTGGGGATTATGTTAGTCCCTGAATTCCTCAAGAAATATATACAACTTCCAGTATTAAAACGATATATTCTTCAATGTTGTTGTGTCAGTATATAATTTCAGATGTTTCGACAGACCGTTATGTTTAACTGTGGCACTGCGAGGTGGAACAACTCGGCACAGATGCTTCCAGAGTACGGACATCGCAAACATTTATTTCCAAGGACCGTTCCAAGACATTCAAAACTGCATTGCATAGACATGTTATTTTCACACTTATTGAAAATAATTTGCCATATAACGAAAATCCAGTATCTGTGTATATCCGCTGTCACACAAAACAAGCGATGAGTAAAGGGAAACAACTCCGCTTCGCTTAAATATTGGCATTTGTTTCGGTTTTCCATGTGAGAATTTGCCATGGATCACAAAACATTTCTTTTGTCGTTATTGTTCACAATTAACCAGACTGTTCCAAAAGAAATATTTATCACAGATCACAATTGCTACGAGACATGTTCATATAATTTTGGTTGCCTTAATCAAAATCTCTCTGAAACATACAAAATGAGGTTTGTACCATCTTATTCTTTCGTGAGGAACGGTGCAATACAATTGTTGTTAACAAAGTTTCTGCAACTCAACAGAGGTGGATTTCGGAGCTATCGAAATTCTTCTTTCTATTCCTATGCTTAGGTAGTTGACTGAATTTACCATTTTGACAGATGACCAAAGTAACGCGCACGGTTTACGTCAACGGCATCGTGGGAAATATTTAGGGAAACCAGAATTTAATAGTACGTTAATGAAAACACTTGCATTTAGCCGAGGTTGGGATTTTGGAGATAAAAGGTTGGGAGGAGGGGGTAGACATAATACCCAAGGGCGCAGTTAATATGTAAGGAGTCTAATAAAAACTGGGGGAAAACTGCGCAATCGCCCTTGTAACCAACATCTAATACACCAAGGGATTTACTTGATGTGATACCTGCCGTTGTAGCGATTGTAAAGGGAAATATATTGCATTTCATCAAATGGGAGATGAAGTTGTCAACCATATTGAATGATTTTATGAATGCTTTCTCTGCTGACTCGCACATGCAGTTGGTTCCTTTTAAGTCTGAAGTATGTTTTTGGCTTGTTGCGCCATAAATATTCAACCTTTATAATGGATAAACTGCTGCCTTTGCTTGTATCACAACAGAACGCGACGCTTTCTTGATGGAACTGATCGCATGGAGATTCCTTGGCCCTTGATTCAAACCCTGGTCGTGCTTGTTGCCAGCAAATTTAATCAATAATCACTGGGTTGAACCTATTACTTTCAGAATCATATCTAAACGCACTGAATAAGCTGATTTTTCACCCATTCTTTAATCTGATGGCCACTTATGATGGTCTTTCCAATCAGCAAAAACCTCATGACATGATCTTGCAAAAAATTCCATCAATCCTTCCAAAACATATGTGTAAGATTGATCTTCCTTGCAAAATCTTACTTGTTTTATTTTTTTAAGTCGACGTACCCAGTAACCAAGTTGCAGATGAGAGGAAAAAATGACTGCAAATCATAATTACTTCACAGTAATAAACATTAGACCATTATTCCAATACAATACATGGCAGAAGACAGCAAAGCAAGATGTATATGAAAATCTGTTTATTCAGCCTTCAGCTTTTGATTGTTTCATTGTGGGTCAGTGTCCAAGTCATGAGCGTTCATTAAGAAGACCATGCACTTAAAATAACTAAACCACGCCTTCAGCATGGCATTTATTTAATTAAACATGAATATGTTACATGATAAAAATTTCAGTCAGCTAAAATGGATTTTCTACTTCACATGTATGGGGATACTCATCACTTTGAATTGTATTGTAATAAATTCTTCCACAAATCTGTATCCGCACTCATAATTACCCATTTGACTTCATTCCCCTGTCACAAAAATATATGTACAAAGACTTCATTCTCTCTGCAAGAATTAGGGACGCCGTCATCCCCAGGATATCTCATCCCTAAAATATGTTGTTTTCTTTTTACAGCTGCCTGGTCAAGGATCTTGGATTTAAGTAGCTACATCAGAAAGAGACATCCTTGCATGATTAGCCTCGATATTTCCAATATTTACCTTGCAACCCAGAAAAGAACAAATCCATATATATATTTCAAGAATATACACACAACCCTTCTGGTAATTTTTACATGATTCGAATGCCATTTCTACATAAAAATAAATCCTTTGTTGTACTGTAGGGTGCAAGTATTATCGTTGAAACAAGTGAGATTGAAGGAATTGGTGATGTCTGCTTTTCTAGGGCAACGTTTTGAGAAAATGTCGGGGCTGAAGAAATATAATTTTTGCTAATGCTAAAATTTGAGAAGTTAAGGATTATGTCGTCATACTTTGCATCTCTTGAAAATGGAGAACACTTATGCTGTATGAATGGTATGGATTCATATAAATAAATTCACACATTCCATTTACAACACATTTCAATGATGATGGCTGTTTCAGTGAATACAATGACAAATGCTGTAATCAATCACAATATAATAAAGTCTCTCCTTTAAAAAACAAAAAACAACGTCTTTGTGAATGGTCCGATCTTACAAGCACAGGTTTCAAACCTCAGAATCTGCATATCCTTTGATTTCTAAGACAAACCATTTTTATACAATCTATTGACATGTCTTTGGTTCACAATCACATTAAACACATGCACTATTTTGACCAAGTTCTACAAGTCGGATTCAGCACAGGTATTCAAACAGCTGGTCATGGAATTCCTGAGGCATGATCCTGATGCACTAGCAGCCTTCAGCAATATGATTGGTGGAAAACTTGTTCTGCAATGTTTCATCATGATTGGTTATGAACAGCTCTGCTTGTCACGGGCACCAGGATTGGTCAAGTACTACGTATACTCCCATTTGTCTGGTGTGGGAGGCCATCCAGTGAGGGATTGTGGATCTATCACCGACTTGTCATTTCATCTGTGGAATGGTTGGTTGAGTGAGGTCAAGCAAAGGTCAGACAGGGCCCTCCCTCCATTGCGAGCAGGGCTGCGAGGTTGTGCATCATGCACGCAGTGACAAGCCCAGAACACAGTGTAAATCAAGTCCTCGTACTACTCTACTACA